AAAAATACGTTTTCATGCAAAAACATTACTCTTGACCTTTTGCATTCAATAATCACATCAAAAAACTTGGTAAACAAACCCATGTGCAATTTTGCTCACTTTAGCTTACATACGAACACAAAAAATATCGATGAATAGTGGTGACAAATCCATAAAAGTGAGTTTCTTTAGGATATCAATCATTAATATAAACCTAAAATYTGTAGTCGTCATTGACCATGCCCAATGCATTAACCTAACTTGAATAGAGATCATCAAATGGGCCCAATCTAACCTGAGTCAAGACTAGCGGAGGAYCGGGACTGGCTATGACCCACTGGTTACAACTCAATTGCACTTATCATCCAAAAACAAGCACCGGTCCAGCCCGGACCGGATAGGTTTTGGAACCGTCCCGATCATTTTGAATTTTTTTTACCATTAATATTACCGTTAGGGATGGTCATATGACCTTTTCTTTGGATTTTGATCCTTTTGTTTGTCTTTTTGGCCCTCTATTCACTATATAGAAGGCATATGKTGTATAGGGAAAAATACCAACTCACAAACGCGAAAACATTCACAAGTATCGCTATAATTCATTATTTTAGCTTGTACTTGATTTYGGTTTTTAACAACACCTACTTGAGTTCTGTTTCTCTCTTTCTTGTGTTATCACTTACTTATAAGATGGCCTCTCATGATGATACATCCAACATCAACGATCCCATTTCAAATGTTTTAGCCGAACACGAACGAAAGTCTAAGATTTGGAATTCTTACAACACGGTCGTTCTTGTAAGTGGAAAAAGGAAGGCACAACGCAAAATGGGTCAAGCTCTCCATATGGCCGAAGGAAATTCAACCTTGAGGTGTCACRTCAAAAAACATGTCATCGGTTAAAGTCGATGGAAGGTGATTCGAGTCAACCGATACTCGATGGACAAGGTCGAATATGAACGTTCATTGCCGATTTGAACCGGCTGATGACTACACAATGTGTCCCTAAAACTGGGTTCCCGTGCGGACATTTTGACAACATTCACGTTATGAACGTCATTCAAGAAACACTACAACCATGCTACAAGTCGGTAAGTCGTCAAACATGTATTTGAATGTTACCGGAGTTGAAGTTTCAATTTTGATACATGGCTTTTGGTTTATATTGGATGCTCCTAGTAATGATCAATTTTCACAAGAACAAAAACGCAAGTCTAATTGRATTTTGGCGATTTATTTGACCATTATAAAAAAAAATCTATGGAGCAACACGGAAACAACAAAATTCTTCAAATTGGGGTAACTTGAATTTTAGTTCTAGTTCCAACGCCAAAACCAAAATGAATTAATGAATAACTTATTTAACAAGGTTCAAAATCTTACGAGTAAAAAATCCCGATTTGATACCGATTTAGGTGAACTAGATATGTATATGCGTATTAATTTTATTTCTTTTCGAATGTCGATGATTTTAAAAATATTGGTTTATTGGAATGGTGAAAACAAAACCAACCGCAATTTCCAGATCTGGCCGCCATGGCCYRTGATATACTAACAATCCAAGCTAGTACCATAACTTTAAAGTCCGCTTTTTCTCTTAGTAACAAGATCRTTTTAATGCGGAGCAGAAGATTTACCCGGATTATGTGGAGTATTGTGTATGCTTGAGGGCTATTTGGATAGTAATGAAAGAACTCAAAACACGACATCACTAGAGATGGAACTTGAAAAAGTGGAAGAAAAAAGTCGAGAAAACGAATACTCCCAAAAATAACAATGCCTCCAACTACTGATATTGATGACACCTRAACTAACATTGATGACGTTGAGACTGTTGTTAACCTTCAAGGAACATAAGGATTCTATTGATGGAAATTTGAACACAAGGATTCTATTAATTACATCTYTGTAGCTTTATGGGGTAAGATGGTTGATCGTTTGAACAGACCCCATTGGAAGGCTAAGTCTGTAGGGACACGTAAGAACCGGTACATCAAGGTGGTCGACAAAATAGTCAAACACACCAACGGATCAATCTCATTGGTTGAGCATAGTCATTGGATGGARAGACCTTAAAAATGATTAGTCAAGGAGCACCTGGTTTTTTATATCTTATAATTAACTAAAAATCGTATTATTTGACATTTTTAGGAGAAAGAAAGACAAGATGTGCCACTGACCCGTTGTGGACCTATTTAATTAGACCTATAGGCAAAGGTCGAATTCAGAATCTTCCTCTTCGGATAACGGGCCACTAAGGGATTATGTAACTTTGATTGTAGACGGGTTATGGTAA